CATCCCTCGCCCTATTCTGAAATTCTCCTAGACGGGCCTCCACGACTCTGGTCTCCTGCGCCAAGAGAACCGAGCCCTGGTACTCCGAGAGATACTCAAATAGCGGCCCATGCGAGCCAGCATTGACTGTCGTGATGCAGCAACGTTTAGCCGACCTCGTACCTGTGAGAGGTGGCCCATCGCTTGGGGCAATGACCGCGGGCTGCCCCCAACCGCCTGAACCAGCTGACCTTGACGCCGTACTTCCAGCACTTGGCCCACCACCAGGGGCAGAGAAATGCCGCGTCGCCGAACCCGCCGCTGACCTGGAACAGGAGGCCGACGCCGAAGCCCGAGCCCCTGGCCCACTCCCAGGGGCAGACAAGAGACTGGTGGTAGCCGTGGTTCCCCGCATACTAGCCTTCCCTGGAGGAGGGCTTCCACTGGCCTCATTCACGCAATCACCTGCGCCAGTCAGCCCGACCACAGGTCCAGCGCTTCCGAGAACACAGCGGCCGCCCTCCATAAGCGAAGGGGCGAAGGTAGATTCCAGAACAGCACCAGATGCAGAGACATGCCGAGTCGCCGAACTCGCCGCTGACCTGGTACCTGAAGCCGACGCCGAAGCCCCAGAACCTGGCCCACTACCAGGGGCAGACAAGAGACTGGTGGGCGCCGTAGTACTCCAAATAACAGCCTTCCCTGAGGGAGGGCTTCCACTGGCCTCATTCACGCAATCACCTGCGCCAGTCGGCCCGACAACAGGTCCAGCGCTTCCGAGAGCACAGCGGTCGCCCTCCACTAACGAAGGGACGATGGCAGGACCCAGCACTGCACCCAATGCAGAGAGCTGCCGAGTAGCCGAACTCAACGCTGTTCCTGAACAGGAGGCCGACGCCGAAGCCCCAGCACCTGGCCCACTACCAGGGGCAGACAAAAGACTGGTGGAAGCCCTTGTACTCCACATACCAGCATTCACAGTAGCCGATGGGACAGAAGCAGGTCCCAACCCTGCAAAATTAGAACCATCACTTGAAAAAGCACGTCGACTCCCTGAGAAAAGGCTCCCGCTGGCCTCCTCCACGCAATCACCAGTGCCAGTCATCCCAACAACAGGTCCAGCGCTTCCGAGTACACAGCGGTCGCCACTCGAGCCCGATATTCCTTCCATTCGCGGGGAAGGTCCTGCACTTTCCGAAACAACCATCATTCCACTAACAATTCCAAACATCACACTGAGCACATTGAGCACAAGCGATAACCTACTCGGCCGACGGCTTTTGCCGCTTGCACATAGAGAGGTAGCTCGTCTGCATCTTCCTGATCTTGCCACGCAGCACCTCGGCGTCATCTGTGGCTTGAGCAGGAATCCCTGCTGCATCCAGAGTTGCCCGCAGATCATCCACATCCATGGACTCAACATGTGGCGCAGGGTCCACCTCAGGGTCCTCCTCGGGCTCCTCGGGCGTCTGCGGTTGCTGCTGCGGCTCTGGGGTGGGTGGCTGCGCTGCAGGGAGTTCGGCAAGCTTCTTGATCGTGGCCGCCATCGCCTGCAGCTCTTCCAAGAGGTCAGGAGGCACCCCCAGCCCAGAAGCGACCACCCCCAGCTGCTCGACCGACACAGAGAGCGTGGGGAGCATCTGCCGCAACGAAGGAGGCCCTTCCCCACTGCCGTCGGGTGGCTGAGCCTTGGACATGGTTGCCCTCGTCTCACATTCAAGCCGCAGGACCTCCTCCTTGGCCTCCACCAGCCGTGTGTCGAGGCTCTCCAAGACCTTCTGGAGCTCGCTGATCTTGCTCTGCTGCTCATCGCGGGCCTTCTGCAGCTGCGTCTCCTTGTGCCGAGCACTCTGAAGCCGGTTTGCCAAACTGCGAGCCTGCTCCTCAACAGGTCGGTCAGCAAACAAGGCCGTCTCGAGGGCAGACTTCTCCTCTCGGTACCGTCTGAGCAACTCCTCGTCCTGGGAAAAGCCTCCACTCGCCACTTGCTTGATGAGACCTTCCAGGTACTTGATCCTGCTGCGCTTGTCACACTGCTTGGCATCAGCAGCCCAAGGAGGAGGGTTCCCAGTACCAGAGTCTGGAGAGGAACGCCTTGCTGCTTGAAGCTGTCTGACTTGCACTTGAAGCTCCGCACACTTGGCCTCGAGCGTGGCAGATCGAGTAGAGGTGCTTGGAGACTCCGACTGCTTGAGATTCTCTTTGAAGCACACGGACTTGTGCAGGCTGCACTGGCGACAGTACATAACCCCTGCTTTGTTGAACCAGGGCTTCTTCGTGACAGCGTGGACGCAGAAGCGACAGACCCAGTTCTCACTCTCATTCTGCCGCCGCTTCGCCGCCTTCGAAGACATGGGATGGCTCGGACGCTCCGAGCCCCGTGGAGAAGCAGTTGCTGGGGCGAACCAGCACTGCAAAGAAACTGATCGGGCGCAAGCGCCCTCGCACTGCCGCGGTGCCAGCGGTGTCCGTTTCTGCCTATGCGGGCTCAGCCCGCCAAGACAAAGCTCTTGAGCCAAAATGGCTACGGAGAGGAGGAGGAGGAGGAGGAGGAGGAGGAGGAGGAGGAGGAGAAGGGGGGGGAGGAGAAGGAGGAGGAGGAGGAGGAGGAGGAGGGGGGGGAGGAGGAGAGGGAGGAGGAGGGAGGAGGAGGAGGAGGAGGAGGAGGAGGAGGAGGAGGAGGAGGAGGAAGGGGAGGAGGAGGAGGAGGAGGGCGCCCCGTGCGCGGGAGGGAGGGGGTCTCGTGAGCGGCAGGCTTGGGACGCGACGGTGTTCTGCAGCATCCTTGACGACCCCCGCGCCAGGGCTGGACCTGAACGTTATGATGTTCGTTGTGTCGTTGTTTTTTGTGGCTTTCGCTTTGCTCTGCCTGTTTCTTCCTGCACCTCCCTGCCAGAACGAAGAGCAAAACACCGCCCAAGTCCAGCAGTCCAGCCTTGTGGATGCCATGACAATGGACACTCCAACAATCCAATAATTGAATTAAAGATGTGTTTAAAATGTGTAAAACATGTTCTAAACATGTTTCGACCATGCCTTTTACATAGTTTAAACATGTTTGAACCATCTTTTGGAAATCTGGAAATTATTTGGCAGCACGCTTCCTCTCCATGAATCGACTTCCACAAGTCCAGCCCTGCCCTGCGTTCACGCTGGCCCTCAGCGCGAGAGAGAGAGAGAGGGTGGGGAGCGGGGCCGAGAGCCCTGGTCGTGACCGCCCGCGCGCCGCGCCCACCCTCTGCGCCGTCGGCGGGCCACCGAGAGAGGGAGAGAGGGGGGGACCTCTTCGAGAAGGGCAGCTCTGGACGCGCGCACCGAGAAATCTCACAATACATGCTTCGTGGCGGACGCGTTCTGGCTGTACCGCTCGGGAAACGGCATATGTATATACACATCTATGTATATACACATATGTGTGTACGACAAGATGGTTGTATGACATGTTCGGGTCGGACGCACTCCTCCGAGGAGATGTCCTTGTGCGTCCCATTCGCTGCCGCCCTGCCTCTGCCTTTTCCCCCACCCTTGCCTCGCCGCTCAGGGGCCCTCTGCAGCTCCTCCGCCCTGCGCGGCGTGCGCAGGGTCCGCCGCGAACGCCGGTGTGCGTGGTGCCACGGGGCCATCCCCTCTGCTCGGCACGAACGAAGTGGGTACGGAAAGAATGGGTACGATGCCTAACAGCAGTTCCTGCTCATCTTGAACAGGACTCGCTGTCCGCGCCGCCGTGGCCCGTGTCCGTTTGAGACAGAAGGCCGCCCGCCCAACAGCGGCCGTTGATGGTTTGGGACAACACTTGTTGTTGGGCATTGTACCCATTGGTTTCCGTACCCGTTTCGGGCGTCCAGAGCTGCCCTTCTCGAAGAGGTCCCCCCCTCTCTCCCTCTCTCGGTGGCCCGCCGACGGCGCAGAGGGTGGGCGCGGCGCGCGGGCGGTCACGACCAGGGCTCTCGGCCCCGCTCCCCACCCTCTCTCTCTCTCTCGCGCTGAGGGCCAGCGTGAACGCAGGGCAGGGCTGGACTTGTGGAAGTCGATTCATGGAGAGGAAGCGTGCTGCCAAATAATTTCCAGATTTCCAAAAGATGGTTCAAACATGTTTAAACTATGTAAAAGGCATGGTCGAAACATGTTTAGAACATGTTTTACACATTTTAAACACATCTTTAATTCAATTATTGGATTGTTGGAGTGTCCATTGTCATGGCATCCACAAGGCTGGACTGCTGGACTTGGGCGGTGTTTTGCTCTTCGTTCTGGCAGGGAGGTGCAGGAAGAAACAGGCAGAGCAAAGCGAAAGCCACAAAAAACAACGACACAACGAACATCATAACGTTCAGGTCCAGCCCTGGCGCGGGGGTCGTCAAGGATGCTGCAGAACACCGTCGCGTCCCAAGCCTGCCGCTCACGAGACCCCCTCCCTCCCGCGCACGGCGGCCCCTCCCCTCCTCCTCCTCCCATCCTCCTCCTCCTCCTGCACTCCTCTCCGCGTCCTCCTCCTCCTCCCCTCCTCCTCCTCCTCTCTCCTCCTCCTCCCTCCTCATCCTCCTCCTCCCCCCTTCCTCTCCTCCCTCACTCACTTCATCCTCCTTACCCTCTCCTCCTCCTCCTCCTCTCCTCCCTCCTCCCTCCTCTCCTCTCCTCATCCTCCTCCTCCCTCCTACTCCCCCCCACCTCCTTCACCTCCCTCCTCCTCCTCCTCCTCTCCTCCTCACTCTCCTCTCCTCCTCCTCCCTCCTCATCTCCTCCTCTCCTCCTCCTCCGCCTCCCCTCCTCCTCCTCCTTCCTCTCCTCCTCCTCACTCCTCCTCCTCCTCCTCCTCCTCCTCGCAAAAGCTCCATCAGAGCGTTTCAGGCTACACCTGGGCGTACAGTCACAGCTTGTTGCACGGAGTTGTATACATCTGGTTACAACTATTTGCACCTGTTCGTACGTAGTCGCACATTCTGCTAGTTGCAAGTAACTGCACGAGGGACGCGGAACGAGAGAAACCACAGACTAAAAGCAGAGCAGGCTATCGAGGCGCGCCCATGTCCACATCAGGGCGGAGTAGTACGTGGCGTGGTCTGCAGACAGCTCGGTCCACTTGAACTCGTTCTCCATCATGATCTTGAAGCACGTCATGATGGAAGCCTCGCCCTCATATTCCTCCCCCTCATGCCCTTCTCCATCCATCCCTCCGTCCCTCCATCCATCCATCCCGCTCCTTCCCTCCCGCCCTCTTTCCTCCTCCTCCACCTCAACCCCAATCCCCCTCTCCTTCTACGCCTTCCCGCCCCCTCTCCTCATCTCCCTCGTCTTCGTTAATTGACCCTCCTATCCTTGTTCTCGTCCTCGCCCTCATACGCGACCTAATTCCGCATACTTCGCTTCCTCCTTCCCCTCCCCGCCGCCTAATCTCCCACTCCTCCTCATCCCGCCTCATCCTGGAACCCGACTGGCACCCCAGAGCTAAACGTCAAGAGCCAACTTATGAGCACTGGGGGGGAGGGGGCTGCGACAGCAAAGACCGAGACGTGTGAACACCACAGCAATTGGAAGGAATGAGAGGCGATGAAGGGAGATGACAGAGGAGAGAGGGCAGCATGTGCACTCGCCGATGGGGGAGGGAGGAAGCAGAAGGACGAGCAGGAGGAGAGAGGCGAACACGGATGGGGAAGTGGAAAGGGAAGGCGAGAACGAGGACAGGTTCTGCCAGACCTGGCCAGCCACCCCCAGGCCAGGCGAACCAGTGCTCGCGGCACTGCCCCTGTGGAGCGCTCTGCGATCGCCGCCCACATAATTAAGCACAGAGGGCCTCCTCCTTCTCCTCCTCCTTCTCCTCCTCCTCCTCCTCCTCCTCCTCCTCCTCCTCCTCCTTGGTCACCCCCCGCGAGGCTGCGGCGTCGCGCGCGGGGCGTCTCCCCAGCAGCTGTTCGTGGTGACAATCACGCTGTCCTCTTTCTCTGGCCGTCGTAAAGGAATGCCCGCGCCGTGCTCCGGTTTCCATCGCGAGCCCCAGAGGGGGTCGCCACCTCGACCGGCAGCCCCGAACACCGACCCCCGCCGCGGGCCCTCGGCGAGGAGGACCCCATCGGCGGGGGGCAACGGTAGCCGTATCGGTGCCCTTGCTCCTCGGAGGGACCGCGCCCCGAGCCCAAGGATGGTGCGCAGAAGGAGGAGGAGGAGGAGGAGGAGGAGGAGGAGGAGGAGGAGGAGGAGGGGGAGGAGGAGGGGGAGGAGGAGGGAGGGGGGAGGAAGAAGGAGGAGGAGGGGAGAGGAGGAGGAGGAGGAGGAGGAGGAGGAGGAGGAGGGGGAGTAGGAGGAGGAGGAGGAGGAGGAGGAGGAGGAGGGAGGAGGAGGAGGAGGAGGAGGAGGAGGAGGAGGGGAGGGGAGGAGGGAGAGGAGGAGGCGGAGGAGGAGGAGGAGGAGAAGGAGGAGGAGGAGGAGGAGCAGGTTGGAGGAGAGAAGGTTGGAGGGAGGAGGAGCAGGAGGAGGAGGAAGGAGGAGGAGGAGGAGGAGGAGGAGGAGGAGGAGGAGGAGGGAGGAGGAGGAGGAGGAGGAGGAGGAGGAGGAGGAGGAGGAGGAGGAGGAGAGGGAGGGAGGGGAGAGCGGGGAGGCGGGGTGGCGCGGGGCCCCGACCCCTGCGGGTCACGAAACAATCACGACGGGAGGTGTTTCGCTATTTTCGGCCTCCGGGGGCCCTCGCCGGGCCTCGGGACCGTCCAGAAACGACTCGGGACGAAAAGCCGGTCCCGGGGAATGGGTCGAGACCGCTAGAGGGCCACGTCATGAAGAATTCAGGACGTCGGGGGTCCGGGGGGGGAGAGCGCACGGTGTGAGGGCCGGGCCCTTGCCTGCAAGAAGCCGAGCACCTGCCTGCAAGAAGCGCGTGCCCCACCGAGGCCGGGCACTTGCTTGCCTGCAGGGGAGGAGCAGTGTCAAGAGAAGCGGGAGGGGCGGAGGCCCCGCCGCGCGGCCCGCGCACCTCACACCGCGCACCCGTCGCCGCCCGCAGCGGCGTCGCGCCCGCCAGGCGCCGCCTCGGTCGGCTGCACGAGCAGCGAGTCGACCTTGGCAGCGACCGGCTTCTTGAGATACGGCTTGAGGGCACCCAGGGCCTCAAGCCTTCCAGGTCGCACCTGACGGAGAGCCGCTCGAGCACGTTGCGAGTTGACCTTGGCAGCGACCAGCGTCTTGATGGACGGCTTGAGGGCACACAGGGCCCTTTCGTCCAGGCCGCACCTGACGGCGAGCCGCTCGAACACGTCCCGCATCGTCGACGGTGAGGCATTGGATGAGGGACCGTTGGGCCAGGAAGCCAGGGTGGTCTGGAAGCCGGTGGAGCTCCAACCGTGGCCTGGCCGTGGACACATCACCGCAGCCCTCTCATCGGATACAGGCAGTCTCCAGGGTTTGAGGCCTCCTGGGCACAATCCTCGAGGGACGCCCCTGCCGTAGGATGGAACCCAGAGCAGTTGTACGAGGGCGGGGGCAGGAGCCTGGCGGGCGCCGAGGCGAGAGCGCCCCCTGCGGAGCGACCGCAGGACGTCCCGAGCGGAGGGGCGCGCCAGGAGTATCAGCTCCGTGTTGGAACTCCACGTGCGGAGAGCCCGGTGTGCGGCAGGGGCGGGGGCAGCAAGGGTGCACGTCTTCGGGAGAAGCGGGGGGAAAGCGCGGTGCTCACAGAGAGTGGAATTGCAGAGGCGGCAGAGCTGTGGCAGGCGCCCAGGCGAGGAGCGCCCGCAGGAACAGCCGAGAGAAGAGGTCCCGAGCGGAAGGGCAGGCAGGAAACCAGCGGCGAGGACAGCGGTGTCTCAAACGCGCCGGCTCCTAGAACGCAACACGGAAGGAAGCCATGAACATGAACGCTCGGAACGGGACGGGGACGTAACGTTCAACGGGGGACCAATACATCAACGTCCACCGCTCCAACGCTTCAAGACATGAACGTTCGGAACGGAACGGGGGCCAATCGAAAAAACGAAACCGAATACGAAGCACATGCTGCTGATGATAATGAGGAGGAGGAGGAGGAGGAGGAGGAGGAGGAGGGAGGAGGGGGGGGGGGAGGAGGGGGAGGAGGAGGAGGAGGAGGAGGAGGAGGAGGAGGAGGAGGAGGAGCACGAGGAGCAGAACCAGATGGCCAGAGCCGAGCCCCGAACGGCGCTGCGCTCGGTGCCCGCCGCAGGAGGCAGAACTCTGGTGGCAGGCAGCGGACCTCGCGAGAGAGAGAGAGAGAGTCTCCCGTGCGCGGCAGGCGCGGGGGTGTGCACGGCAGGCGCGCCGTCGGGGGAGGAGGCGAGGGCCATGGGGAGAGCGGCAGCGGCGGCGCAGGTGCAGAGGGGGGGGAGGAGAGGGGCGCGGGGCAGGAGGGGGCGGGGGGGGGGGCAGAGGGACGCCGAGAGCGGGGCGGAGCAGAGGGGGGGGGGGGGGGGCATGAGGGAGGGGAGAAGGAGGGAGGAAGAGCGGCGGAGCAGGTGCAGAGGGGAGAGGGGAGAGGGGGGGAGAGGGACGCGAGGCATGGGGGGGAGGGCAGGGGGACGCTGAGAGCGGGTGGAGCGGAGGGTGGAGATGAGGGAGGGGAGAAGACGGAGGAAGAATGGGCGGCGGCGGCGGCGGTGGGGGAGGAGAAGGCCGAGGATGGACAGGGAGGCAGAGGAGGAGGCGGACGTCGAGGACAAGGGGAGAGCTTCACGGGCGCCCTCCCCCAGTGTCCCAGAGCGTGGCGAAGTCTTGAAGCCGCTTCCCGTAGAGAATCATGCCAGAAAACGCGAAGGCGAGGACGGTGCAGAACATGATGATCATGAAGTGGAACATGTCGCTCGAGCTCTCGATGAGAGTCCTGGCGGCTTGTTGGGGGCCGCCTGGCGGGGAAAGCTGGCCGCCGCGCCTGGGCGCACCTGGGAAAACGGGTGAGGATGGTGCGCAGGACGTTTGTCTCAAGGCCGGCGACCCGATGAAGCAAGCATGCATCCCCTGAGCGTGCCTCCTGCCGCGTGCGGCTGGAAAAGCGTGAAGCCGGAGAGGGGGGGGGGAGGGGGTGGGGATGACGGCCGCGACGGCGGAGGCCGAGCGTAGGGAGGCCAAAAGATACCAATACCGCTGCTCCCTGGACCTCTCCCGCGGTGCGTTCTGACCAGGAACGCGAAGCGAATTTTGGCGGTGGAGACGAGAGCCGCTCAGGAGGCCCACCAGGACGGAAACGAGGCAACGGTAGCAGTATCGGTGCCCTTGCTCCTCGGAGGGACCGCGCCCCGAGCCCAAGGATGGTGCGCAGAAGGAAAAGGAGGAGGAGAAGGAGGAGGAGGAGCAGGAGGAGCAGGAGGAGGAGGAGGAGGCGGAGGAGAAGGAGGAGCAGGAGGAGGAGAGAAGAGGAGAAGAGGAGAGGAGGGAGGAGGAGAAAGAGGAGGAGGAGGCGGTAGGAGAAGGAGGAGAGGAGGGAGGGAGGAGGAGGAGGAGGAGGAGGAGGAGGAGTTTGAGGAGGGGGAGGAGGAAGGACGCAGGACAAGGAGGAAAGGAGGAGGAGGAGGAGGAGGAGGAGGACAAGGAAGGAGGAGGAGTTGGGGGAGAGGAGGAGGAGGAGGAGGAGGAGGAGGAGGAGGGGGAGGAGGAGGAGGAGTTGGAGTTGGAGTTGGAGTTGGAGTTGGAGGAGGAGGAGGAGGAGGAGGCGGAGTTGGAGGAGTTGGAGGAGGAGGAGGAGGAGAAGGAGGAGGGCGAGGGCGAGGGCGAGCGGAGTCTGGACGGATTTCGGGCCAGCCCAGCGCCTCGCACCGCGCGTTTTGCGCGCCCCCGCGACGCCTCTCCCTTAAGGAGAGCAGGGTTCCAGCCTGGACCCCTCGGCCCCATTCTCCGTGGGCCGGCTTCGCGTCGCGAGCCCTGCCTGTTGGTGGCCCCCGCCGATCGGAAAAATCCGCGCGGACCCCAGAGTTTTTTATGTTTACGTCATTCTTCGTTCCCTTAGCAGAAGACCAAGATGGTTGCAAGAACCTGGCTGCCTCGGCAGCTTCGATGATCCTCAGGACGTGTGTTACGGTCAACCCTTGTGGTAAGGAGGCGAAGTGAGGATGCACGGGCCCTGGACGCGCATGCCGAAGCTCTTCGAGCGGGGCTGGCCATCGAAAGCGACTGAGACTGAACCGAAGATGATCGAAGATGCAAGGATGCAGGGGTACCCTTGGGATGTCGACCATCCTTACTTTTCACGTTGAATGTAGCGTCGGCGTGTGCTTCTTCCACCGAAGCCCTCCAGCACGACGCCGACGTGTAATGAGGGCCGAGACAAGCGTGCGAAGTACCGGTCAAGCTGGACAAGGTAAACACACATTGGGCTAAAGCACGTCCTGAGGATGATCGACGGTTTCAGGCAAATGGATTTCGGGGAGGGGGAGCGGTCCTGATGACGACGGCGAGGCGCGGCTGGAACTGCAGCGAAACGAAGGCCCGCAAGTTGAAGGCGAGCGTCGCCTCCCAGAGGTCGGCGCGGAGGAACGGGCTGATATGTAGGAGAGAGGGCGGCGAGGGCTGGCGCTCTCAGTCGTAGGATGGGGCGAAACCACGATGATGACAATGATGATGATGATGATGATGATGATGATGATGATGATGATGATTATGATGATGATGATGTTAATGGTGATGAGGGTGATGATGATGGTGATGATGGTGATGATGATGATGATTACGATACTGCTGTTGGTGATGATGATGATCATGATGATGCTGATGATGAAGGTGAGGATGATGATGTTGATGCTGATGATGATGCTGCTGATGATGATGGCGATGATGTTGGTGGTGATGATGATGGATGATGATGATGATGGTGATGATGATGGTGATGAAGGTGTTGATGATGACGATGATGACGATGATGATGATGATGATGGTGATGGTGATGATGATGCTTATGATGATTACAGTGATGGTGGTAATGCTGATGATGACGATGCTGATGATAATAATAATGGTGATGATGATGCGTATGATGATGATAAAAATGATGATGATGATGATGATGATGATGATGATGATGATGATGATGATGATGATGACAGTGATGATGAGAATGATGATGATGGTGATGGAGACGATGGCTCTGATCATGATGGCGGTAATGATGGTGCTGATGATGATGATGATGATGATGACGACGACGATGTTGATGGCGATGATGCTGGTGATGATGCTGATGGTGGTAGTGATGAAGATGATGATGATGATGCTGATGATGCTGATGCTGATGCTGATGATGAAGATGCTGGTTGAGATTACTATGCTGATGGCGATGACGATGGCAATGGCTCTGATGATGATGCTGCTGATGGTGATGGTTGTGATGCTGATCGTGATGCTGATGATGATCCTGGTGGTACTGGTGGTTATGATGATGACGGTGATGATAATGATAACGGTGATGGTGATGAGCATGGTAGCTGTGATAGTGAAGGTGATGTAATGACCTGATGATGAAACAAATCCGCCGGCCCCCTTGTGGGACCACCAGGCTGCGAGGCGCGTGATTCGCAGTTTCCTGTACCAGTTGTAGTTTGTAGTTTCCAGTGTTACAGTTCTGCTTCTTGCTGGTTACTGTAACTAGTTGACTTCTTGCTGGTTACTGTAACTAAATGATGACCGCGCGAGGGGGGGGAGGCCCAAACGGGATTTTTAGCGTCCCCTGGGCGCGTTGTCTGAATTGCTGGGGGGGCTCGAAATCGACACCCCTCACGCAGATCCGCGGGGTCAGGGTCCAAAAAACACAAGGGATTTGCCACATTTCTGAAATTCGGTGCCACCCCTCACGCAGATCCGCGGGGTCAGGGTCCAAAAACATAGGGGATTTGCGACATTTCTGAAATTCGGTGCAACCCCTCACGCAGATCCGCGGGGTCAGGGTCCAAAAACACAGGGGATGTTCCACATTTCTGAAATTCGGTGCCACCCCTCACGCACTCACGCAGATCAGGGTCCAAAAACACATGGGATTTGCCACATTTCTGAAATTCGGTGCCACCCCTCACGCAGATCCGCGGGGTCAGGGTCCAAAAACACATGGGATTTGCCACATTTCTGAAATTCGGTGCCACCCCTCACGCAGATCCGCGGGGTCAGGGTCCAAAAACACAAGGGATTTGCCACATTTCTGAAATTCGGTGCCACCCCTCACGCAGATCCGCGGGGTCAGGGTCCAAAAACACATGGGATTTGCCACATTTCTGAAATTCGGTGCCACCCCTCACGCAGATCCGCGGGGTCAGGGTCCAAAAACACAGGGGATTTGCCACACATTTCTGAAATTCGGTGCCACCCTTCACGCACACCCATCGCAAGGCGTGGTAACCCAAACTGCGAGAACTCCCTCGGCCCTTTAATCGCAAGGTGTGGTAACCAAGCCCGTACACCATACACGTCTTACCAATCGCCAGGTGTGGTAACCCCTCTTGTGATCAGTTTGTTTTGCTGATTGCGAATCGGCTTCGCATGAAGTTTCGATACTGCTTCACAACAGCGGCAAGGCCTCATGACTTAGCTCTTCCATGGCCCATTCTCCGAGAGAGGGGGCTGGCGGCAGGGGGCGAAGCCCTTACGGATTGTCATGATGGTGGTGATAGTGCTGATGATGGTGGTGGTGATGAGGATTCTGGTTGCGGTAGTGATGATGGTGGTCATAATGATGGTACGCTCCCGAAGCGCGGTGGTCAGCCGCTTCATACTGTTAGGATGCTCGGAACCAGATCGTGAAATGGCAATGGCGATCTACCTGTGTGTGTGTACATATACACATGCCACGAGCCCGGCATCTGCCCAGCACGTACACATCGTTCAGCAGGAGTCGGCAGGGAAACAGAGGGGGAGGAGGAGAAGCAGGAGGGAGGAGGGAGCAGGAGGCGCAGGAGGAGGAGGTGGACAAGGAGCATGCAGCTTGTCCTGCCTTTGCCATGCTGCGGCCCCGTATGGAGCGACGTCGCTCCTGGATTTCAGTCGGCGGGGGACCCCGTGCGGACCTGACCACGCCAGGACCCCCAGGGGAGGCGCCGGCGCGGACCCGCGGCGGGGCGGCGGTGGCGGCGTGCCACGGCGACGAAGGAGCGCAGGTTCACTATGAGGGCCACCTGCGCGACCGAGCGCTGCCTCCTCCTCCTCCTCCTCCTCCTCCTCCTCCTCCTCCTCTTCCTCCTCCTCCTCCCCAAGGATACGAGGGTCTGATTTCTTCAATCCGGCGGTTTTCCTGGATTTCGGCCTCCGGGGCCCGTCATCGGGCCCGGGGACCATCAAAAATGAATCTGGGACGAATAGCCACCCCCAGGGGAAGGGGTCGGAACTTCTGGGGCCGCGGTCTTTTATATAAAAAAGACCCACAAAAAGCAAACAATCGGCGGAGGTCTGGGTCCTCCTCCGATCGAGCGAGAGCACCATCTGGCATAGCTAGCTGGGACAGGAGGAGCGTGCGCCCGCACCGATCCTGCGACGAGCTGCCAGACACACTGTGCCTCATCCATGGCAGGCACACGTAGCCTTGCGGATGCCACAACAACGGACACTCTAACAATCCTACCATTGAATCAAAGATGTGTTTGAAATGTGTAAAACATGTTCCAGAAATGTTTCAAACATGCTTTTGCATGTTTAAAACCTGTTTGGAACATGCTTAGACATCTGGACATGATTTGGCAGCACGCTTCCTCTCCGTTGAGAGATTTCCACAAACGTAGCCCCATTCGGCGAATAAAGAAAAGCTCCTCCTCCGCCTCAACCTGCTCCAGCCCTTCTCGGGTCGGGCGAAAGGGGGGGATAGCAAAGGGGGGGTCTTCCGCCTCCTCCTCCCTCCTCATCCTCCTTCTCCTCCTCCTCCTCCTCCTTCTCCTCCTCCCCCTCCTCCTCCTCCTCCTCCCCCTCCTGCTCCTCCTCCTCCTCCTCCTCCCCCTCCTCCCCCTCCTCCTCCCCCTCCTCGCCCCAGCCCCGCCGAGGGGAGGGCAGGGACCAGGACGCCCGAGCGCGCGGAGAGCGGGGAGCGGGGGGCGAGTCGAGGGGGGGGAGAGCGGGCCGCCGGGGGAGGACTCGACGGCGCGAAGAGCAGACACGCGCCTCCACGAAGGACGACGAGTCGGCGGGCGGAGGAACGACTCGCTCCTTCTTGTTTTGTTTTTCTCTCTCTCTCTCTCTCTCTCTCATTCCCTCTCTCTCTCTCTCTTTTTGTTCTCTCTCTCTCTCTCATTCCCTCTCTCGGCGCAAAAAATAAAAACAAGGAAGACTTAGGTCGGGCCTGTCCCCCTACGGGCCCACTGTGGACGAAAAATCAGACATACCCACAGAATACACCAAACATACCCCAACGTGCTTTTTTATAAACCAAAAAACACATATATATATATATATATATATATATATATATATAAGTTGCTTTACTATGTGTGAATATCCCCCCTGTAGAAAGACAGGCCCGACTTAAAGGAAGAACCGACTCGACGAGCGGCCTCTGTCGAGCAGGCGGCTCGCCCGCGGGAGTGCTACTGCACGGGGCGCGGAGAAGTCTCGAGCGAGAGCACGCGTGCCGAAGACAGCGTGCAGAAATCCACCACGAGCGCGTCATTCCTGTTGGACGCCCGAGTTGTCCGGGGCAACTCGGGTCCAGGGTGTAACTCGGGTTCGGGCTCCCGAAAAACCAGCCCGAGTGAACCCTGACCCGAGTTACCCCCGATAATTCGGGGCTCTGGACGCCCGAAATATCCGGGGTAACTCGGGTCCAGGGTAAGTCGGGTTCGGATTCCCGAAAAAAAAACCGAGTTAGCCCTGACCCGAGTTACCCCTGATGATTCGGGGCTCTGATCCTGAGTGTCGAGGGCGCAGCGAAGAACGAGTGGCGAGGAAGCCCCGCGCGACAGCGCGATTCCGGCAATACGTTGTAAGGGAGTCCCGCGCGAGAGCGCGATTTCGGAAGAACCTGTGAGGAGGTATCAAGCGGGAGCCGCTGCTGTTGTGAACCGGGGGCCCAGGGCCCCTACAAAAAAGCAGGGCGCGAGGCCCGCGAGCGGCAGCAACGGCAGCAGCAACAGCAACAGCAGCAGCAACAACAACAACAACAACAACAACAACAACGACGGCAGCACCAGCAACAACAGCAACAGCAACAGCAACAACAACAACAACAACAACAACAACAACAACAACAACAACAGCAACAGCAACAACAACAACAACAATAACAACAACAACAGCAACAACAACAGCAACAGCATCAACAACAACAACATCATCAACAACAACAACAACAACAACCACAAAAACAAAAAAAAAAAAAAAAAAAACGAAATCACTGCACGCAGCGCAAACAGAAACCCTCCGAGGTCCGCGCGGACTTCTCGGAGCGGCGCTGGGCCGCGCCGGCGGCGCGTCGCCTGGCACCTCCCCCGGCGCGCCCCCCAGCGCGGCCCCCGGCGCGCCGGGGAGAGCCAGCGCCGATCCAAGAAATCCAAGCGGACCTCCAACAGTTCGTCTGGCGGCAAGCGATGGGGCGGGAAGTGAAAAGGAAAAAGACTCCTCAGAGGGCGGCGGGGCTTCTCGGAGGCCCTCCAGCACTCTGAGAAGTTGTCTTTTCTCTTTGTCTTCGAGGAAGGCTTAGAAAACTTCTTAGAAGGACGGGCGACTTCTGAGCCTTCTGAGAAGGCCCGCCTCTTCTCACTTCCCCCCTGGGCTCGCCACCGATTTGTTCTTACGCAGGCAAGTGCAATGTGATAAACACACCTCCTCGGAGCAGCCTGCAACTACCCCACCCAAGACATCTGAGCCAACCCCGCGTCCCCCAAACAACGCCCCAGATCGCGGCAGCGTGCTATGTTCCCGGGCACAGCCTGGAAAACCGAAGAAGCAGATGCAACTACGATTTATCCGAGGTCCACGCGGACCTCCGGGAGTTCAAGCATAGGGCGACTGAAGTTATCAACAAACCCATCCCACCAGGACGTTGGTTGCTTCATGCAACTCAAGTGCGCCAGCATCAGAACTATCACTACTGTAATTCTTGAGGGCTTCTCTCACGGAGTCGAGGCGCTGCAGCTTCACAGTGTACAGGACGATCGTGATCCAGCCTTGGGCAGGCAGCGGCGGGGAACATGGCGAACTACCAGAGCAACGACACAATGCGACTGCCCTGCCAGAGCCATACGAAGATCTTCACACGCGTCAACATAAACGAGTACGCGTGCGCGCGCCTGCGTGTGTGTGCACGCGCGCTTGTATGTCAAAGCTGTGTCCCCAGCTGGCGTATCTGAAGGGGCCCTGGGACACACAAATAAATACACACAAATAACAGGATCCCCCACATTTTCCCATATCTCCTGGGTTTTTGTCTGCCCCCCCACCTCCCATAGTTTCCCATACTTTCTGGGGAATCGACGATTCATTGTGTCTGTGTGCTTTTTCCCCCCCTGAGTATCGAGCACGCTTGCAGCGCCAGTCCGCAAAGCTGCCAACTCGGCCTGCTCCCTCCTTTAGGCGCTGGCATCGGCGGCGCAGGAGCCGCCGCCGCCGCCCCATGCCCTCTCAGGCACGGAGGCTGGGCGCTCCTGCCGGCATCTTCGCCACCGATCTCGCATCCCCTACACTGAAGGGGCCCCAGGGCACACAAACAAATACACCCAGATAAAAGGATTTCCCATCTTTTCCCGTATTTTATGGGCTTTTGTCTGCCCCCCCACTTCCCATAGTTTCCCATATTTTCTGGGGAATCGACGATTAATTGTGTCTGTGTGTTTTTTCCCTCCTGATACACGGCCTCGGTGCCCAACTGTCTCTGCTCTGCCAGCCGTCCCGTCCCCCACGCCCTCCAGGCTCTGGGTAGAAGCTCAGCGTTGCGTCTCGGACTGTTGTCCTGTCGCAGCGCCGGCAGGCTGTAGACGATGCCTTGCCGCTCAGGCCTTGCATTCCATTCAAAGTCGCGCTGCAAGCAACGCTGCGCCTCCTGAATGTCATCGCAACCGGCAGCTGACAAAAACGTGCGCCAGCCGGTGCGTCGCCATGTCTATGATCAGCCAGGCGCGGCCAGATAAGGTTTCAGACCCCTCGGAGAATCCTGTCAGTGGAGATGCCCGGGGGAACACAACAGCACTGAGCTACGAGCACAACTCCCGAGGACAACTAGCAGGAGACGCAATCGAATGCGAATGGCATATTCAAGCCCATCGGCGCCGTTTCTGGAAAGCCTGACCATCACGAAAATGCATACCGAGGGGGAGCGGTGTAGTGGGAAAGAGGCATACTAATACGCGCGTTCAGAATGCAAAAACTTGCCAACCCCGCCACTGACTGAACAATCAATGTTTCCCACCGGAATGAAAGCTGGCCACGGTGCATTCGAAAGTGCTTGAACCGTGGCGGACACGAACGCGGTCGTCGCTACACCCGCTGCCTGGTCTCCTGTGAAACTGAAAGCACGATGCGACATCCCACCAGCCCTTTGGGCTACGGTGACCTAGCGATATCTTTGCTTCCTTTTCCAGAAGCCCTCTTCTCGTCGGAGAGAGGTACCCTCGCCCTCCTATCCCTGAAGTTCCCTGGGGAGGGGCGCGATGTGTCAGAGGGCCGTTTTTCGCCCAGGACGGCTCCAAGAGGGCGTCCGATGCTCCCAGATGGCCTCCAAGATGGCTCAAGATAGCCGAAGATGGTTCGAGAAGGCTTCCGACAGACCTCAACCGCCGCGAGACCCACCCCGCGACCCGCCACTCTCGACCTGCCCGCGCCCCGCCCTGCGACCCAAACGCGAACCGCGCACAGCAGTGGCGCCTGCGGCAGAAGGCGGCATCATAGCGCATCGCTCCGCCCAGGCGACGGATGGCTGATGTGTTGGTGGGTCGGTCTGCGCTGGCGAGGCAGCCAGGGCGATCCCTCACTCGGATCCGCTTCTGCGGAGCTGAGCGGAAGGCGATGTCGTGGATCGCTCCGCCCAGACGAAGGACGGCTGATGCGTTGGTGGATTGGTCTGCGCTGGCGAGGCAGCCAAGGCGACCCCTCACTCGGATCCGTTTCTGCGGAGCTGAGCGGAAGGCGATGTCGTGGTGGATCGCTCCGCCCAGACGAAGGATGGCTGATGCGTTGGCGGATCGGTCTGCACTGGCGAGGCAGCTGGGGCGACCACGCACTCAGATCCGCTTCTGCGGAGCCGAAGCGTACGCCTGACTATCGGGGATCACACTGCCATCCTAGCTGCCTTTCTTTCCTCGCCGAGCCCGGCAACGGGCAAGAATCAACGATCAATAAGAACTAAAAAAGCCTTTCCATGGAGCGCTACAAAACATGGAACTAAACGCGTCACCCCGCCCACCGCCGAACAGTGTGCCAACAAGTGCAACCAAAACACACAACCCATCTGATCATGTGGACACTCACACAAGTCACCTGCTGCTTCACTTCCCAACCATACTGGTCACGCCTATTGCAGATGTGTTGTAATACTCTTGTGCCGTCATGATTTCGCTGAAAAGAAGCCCGTATATGATGCGTGCACGTTGCGTACCCTTCTTGGGGGGGCAATGGCTTTCCCGCGTGCTGCGTCAAGAAACGATTGCACCTGCAGCCTGCAACGCAACATGTACATGCTCTTTCGTTGCCTAGCTCCTTGATAAGAATGGAAGGAGACCAACGCGCAAACAAAGCCCGGGGCCGAAAATCACGGAGATCAGCGTCACTCCGTTCGCCCCGTTCACCAGGATCTTTATGTCACGGTCCTGGCTGCAGAACGTCGAATGGAGCCCCCCACTTCAATCGAACCCACAAGCGATGAAGCCCAGGACGAAGGCAAGGGACAGACGGGCAGACACTCTTGATAGTGAGTTCCGTCCCCGCCGAATGATCGAAAGATCGATCGTTCCAAAAGGCCTGCTGGCCCTGGTGGTTCTGTTATCTGATAAGTGAGATCTGCGTCCAAGAGGGCAATATCGCGAAAACGGCGACAGCGACGGCAGCACGACTATCATAAGACAACGAGGACGGCGACCTGAACGACGACGACGACGCCGACGGCGGCCTGACAGGAGACCCAAACCGGGCCTCTGGCAACTACGCTGCAAGAGCTCGCACTGCAAAGGTATTCGCGCCCATACAACCACTAGAGTTCAGCAATGGTTACTGCCCTAAGATGAACCAGGCCACTCACCTGCAAACCTGAGGCGTGTACAGCACCAAGAAACAACACAACTTCGACTGTCTGCCCAACAATAACAAACTCGGTCCCTTTGAGCTGCATGTGGGAGCAAGGAGACATACCGTCATGCGACAATCTGAAGCAGAACCCCTACGTATGCAACGCCCGTTCGGGCAAAGCGGACATGTCACATGCGCAGAGAAGCAGTTCTAGACGCCAGACGATACATGAGCACGTCACCTACAAGACATGAACGACCCACGCTTTGCAAGCATGTTGTCCAATAAACCTTGACTTCAGCAAGGTTGCCCAAGCAATACAACACAACATAACACAACACAACACCGCGTTCGGGTGCGTTCACAACACGCACCAATACATAATCAAGCCCAAACCTTCACGAGAGAATACAAGACCACTATGGAACGACTGTCTATCTAGTTCTGCCGAACGCCATCCCACCCTCACGCCACAGATGAGGCCCCCATGCCACACCGGTGTGTCGCACATATGCAGATCCACACGCCCTTACACCAGACTGAGAAATGAGAAGTCCAAAGGCCCTGAACAGAGAGAAGCCCATCTAGCCCACCTGCACCATTCGACATGGTGGGCGTGTTCAAACCTGCGTAGTCCTCCAAGCGGACCAGCTCGGCATTTACCAGGGAAGCCCTGGCAATTGAACAGATCGATCGGCGTACCCTGCCAACGACGAGGGTAAGGCAGGTCAGCCGGAGAATCGGCCGAAAAATCCTCCCCCTCGACTACTACCTGCCAGCGATGGCAGCCACGAGCGAAACAAATCTGCCTGCACACCGCTCCGCCCCGCACGAGTCCGACAGGCACTGCTAGAAAAAGAGACACCCGCGAAAATGCCAGAGCGAGGCCGTAGTCGTAGCGACTGTTCGGCGTCGCTGGAGCTAAACCTGGGCCACGCACGACACCAGCAGATGCTGGGGCAACAGAGCAGAGCACAACAGTTCCCCTGCACGCCCACCAGGATAGGCATAACCACGTGAGGGCGCCCCAACAAAACGATACGCACTGAAGCCAGGAGCATGGACATCAACGGTGGGCCCAAGAAAATTGCTGCATACAGCGAAAGCCTTGACAAAGGTGCCACCCTTCCTGTAAAGCACGATCAGACGCGTTTTTGAGCAGATGCCACAGCAATTCGCACGATGGTCTGCGTAACCCCGGCCGAGGCGGTCCAACCAAGACTTCGCCAACCTCCCCCCCCCAGTCCGCACGGCATAACAGAAGACCGCATCTGAACACAACTTACCCGCTCACTCGTCTTGAACACACCTTGTAGGAGTAGACAAACTACCAAACTGGCCGCGAAACGTTTCAAATCACGAAGCCGCGGCAATCAAACAAATTTACTGGACTCGTGTCATCTATGTACTTGGAAGCACGGGCACGCGTTTGATTCGGGTACGAGACAACTGGGAGTTGGTAGAATGCCTACGTGTGCGCAAACGTGTTTCCCACTGATTGCTATCAGAATTGCACGCCAATCTCAACCACAGCTTCTTACGCCTCCTTAGCAACCTCGCTGATGGCCGGCCCATCCAGTACGCACCCATTCCGATCTTGAGGGCGGCGAAGAACAGATCAAGAACCTCACAGCCAGGTCGGGTCAGGTCTAGCCGCAGGCTGCGGCAGCCAGTGGGCACATTAGTGGGCCAGGATGTTAGCACAGACAACACAATCGGACCGAGGCCAGAGGAGCATCCCTCAAGAACATGATGCCCTCCGTCGGTCAAAACAAACAAAACATTTAAGGGTACCCTCCCAACGATGCACAAGAGCATCCAGCAAACACGAAGAACACTAGGATACACTCCCCGAGCCGACCTAGATCTTATACCTCGGTCCGACTGTAGCTCCAATTGAGCTTGCTCAGGAAGGTGACCCGGCAGCCTGAAAGGACCACCATGCGAGACGTATCATTATGTCCAGGGCGGAAATGTCGCCCAGCGACGGAAAGGCACAACAAGGGCACAGCAGCGGCACTGAGCAGGGCCCGTCGGAGTTGCTCGCGTGCAGGCTCAGTGCAACTTCATATGCACGGCAGCCCTATGAAAGAGTGGGCGACCACGACAACGACGACGACCACGACTGCCAGGAAAGCAGCGGAGACTGCGACGTAAACAGCAGCGCGACGATCCCAATGACCGCGTCAGCGACAGAGGGCCACGGGGGTATTGCATTGCAGCACCGCGGCGCGTCGGGCTGCACATAGGACGGCGGCGCCGTCCAGCTTGAACTGCAAGAACTGGTGGCGCAGGGACCACGTGGAAATGATCAGGGATCCTGGGGGGTGGGCTGGGAGAGGGCAGTGGACACTGAAGGATGATCTGGGGAGGCTGGGCAAACCATGTGCGACTGTTGCGAAGCTGAGGGACGGAGTGCCCAGAAGAGGGGGCAAAGAGAGTGCGTCAGAAAGAGAGAGAGAGAGATGGCAAAGAGAGAGAGAGAGAGGGAGAGGGATCGTGAGAGAGCGAGAGGGGGAGAGAGAGAGAGAGAGGTCATGAGAGAGGGGAGTAATAAACAAGAAGGAGAGAGAGAGAGAGAGAGAGAGAAATGGTAAGAGAAGTAATCAGAGAAGGAAAGAAGAGAAAGGAGGGGGGACACATCAGAAGCGCAGGAAGCAGGAGGAGGGGAGAGGAAGGCAATGGAGGAGGAGGAGGAGGAGGAGGAGGAGGAGGAGGCGGAGAACGGCTCCGGGACCCCCTGCCCGACTCCCGGCGAAGGCCGTGGAAGGCTGGTTGCTGCCTCGTCTTCCTCCTCCTCCTCCAGAACGAGACGACAGCAGGAAGAGAAGGCGCTCCCCCGTGCAGCCGAAGACCCCGCCGGCGGGGTCTTCTTCCGCACCGGCGTCGTGCCTTCAAGATTTAACGGGCGAAGAACGGTATAGAATAAACTTTTTCGCCGTCGGGGGCGCCTGCCCCTGGGCGGCTGGAAAGCTCATACCCCTACGGTGCCACCGTAAGGGTATAAATCGGGTCGGGCGAAAGGGGGGGATAGCATAGGGGGGGTTTGAGAATCAGCTCACGTAGCTGATTTTCCCGGCGCCTCCCGGCGCCGGAGGCGGCCATGTATCGAGGAATGGGCCCCTCGGTGAGGCCGAAACCAGCTGCATGCAGCAAATTTCGTAACCCCCCCTTTCCCAATCCCCCCCTTTCGCCCGACCCGAATAAACTTTCCAGCCGCCTTGGGGCAGGCGCCCCCGACGGCGACAAAGTTTATTCTATACCGTTCTTCGCCCGTCGAAGGATGCTGCAGCCGGCCGCCCCGCGGCCCCCCCCCCCCGAGGCGGGGGCCCCGACGGCGGGGGGCCGCGACAGGGGGGGCCGCCGTCGGCGAGACGCCACGGCGCGGGGCGGGGGGGGGGGGAAGCCGCGAGGCCGCGCCGCGTGTCGCGCGCGCGCGCGGTGCAGCACGGCCGGAGCTCCTGGCGGAAGAGGCTCGTGTGAGCCTTTTTTTGGGGATTCAGGCAAGTTACTTGCATGGCGTTCGCCCCCCCCCCCCCCCCCCCCCCTCGCCCCTCTTCAAGCGAACACTGGCGTGCAAGTGCCTCTCGACTTGCGTGATTTCCGCGCCCCCCCGAACGTGCAAGTCGCTTGCGGCTTGCTTCAGGCTCAGCCCCCCCTCCCCCGTCCATGCAAGTAAACTTGCCAGAGTCTAAAAAAAACAGGCTCTGTCGCATCTTCGGGGGGGGCCTCGCCTGTCCCGTCGCGGCCCTATCACCTGAAGGAGATCTGTGTCGAATCCGTGTCGGATGCGTGTCGCACTCGTCGACTCCGTGGCAAGGCCGCGTCGGATCCACGCCGGAGCCGCGTCGAGTCCGCGTCGAGCCAGCGTCGAGCACAAGGAAAGACCCCAATTTGGGGGACAGGCGAGGCCCCCCGAAGATGCAACGCAAAGAGGCGGAACCACGAACGACCAAACAAGCAGAAACACGAGGTGAGTACAGCCAACCCGTATAATAAGGATGCGCGGTAAGGATGCAAGGGCCTTGACTACCACGTCGACACTTTGCGAGGTGGGCGCGGCAGCGAAAGCGGCCAAGGATGGGCCGAAGGATAACGATGCAAGGGAAACCTTGGAAAGTTGCTCTCATCCTTACTATGAAGATTGACTGTAGGTGCTAAGCGCCTTCACAGAGCATCGGCTGGATGAGCACATGCTCTGAGATAAGCCAGGCGGGCGATCGTATTCGCAAACGGCCAAAAGACTCGACGAGGTAGCCCACATGGAATATGACCCTCTCTACCGTTCCCTAATTCCTCGTCGCTGCATCCCTCCACTCCCGTTCTGCAGCATCATAAGTACACTGCAACTCATCGCCGGGCCCCTTGCAGCGACGATGCATTTCGTCAAAGACAACTTTTCTCGGTCGCAGCCACACTCACAGGATACTGAACAAGCTGTGACAGTAAGACGCTGTGGTGCGTCAACCCTTGGGAGGCTGTGTGTGCGTGCGCACGCGTGTGTATATGTGTATGTATGTGTGTGTGCGTGCGTGGGTGCGTGCGTGAGTGCATTGGTGCGTGCGTGCGTGCGTGCGTGCGTGCGCGTGTGTGTGTGTGTGTGTGTGTGGGTGTCTCTGTGTGTCTGTGTGTGTGTCTGTGTGTGTCTGTGTGTGTCTGTGTGTGTCTGTGTGTATGCGACTCGATTATGCGACTGTGTCTGTGTCTGTGTCTGTGTCTGTGTCTCTGTGTCTGTGACTGTGTCTGTGTCTGTGTGTGTCTGTGTCTGTGTCTGTGTCTGTGTCTGTGTCTGTGTCTGTATGCTTGCACTCTGTCCTCGCCGGTGTTGTCGACTCGGGCTCCCAGCCGTTGTGTGTGCCCGCCCTTCGCCTCGCTTCCACGTTGTCCGGCCTGCCGGTCACTTCCGCGACGCCTTCGGGCTTGCCGCTGGCCGTGTCTCCCTGCCCCGTCGGCCCGCTCTCTCTGCCCGTGGTAGCCTTCTCGCGCCTCCCCCCGCCTCGCTCACCCGGCGCCACCTGTATCCTGCAGCCCAGCGGCAGGCCATGCCAGGCACCCTGCAGAGCGGACGGCGTTGCGCAGGTTCAGACAGAAAGTGGTGGGCTCGTGTTCCACCGCCACCACCATAAGCAGGAGGGGGAGGGGGTCCTCCTCTTCCTCCTCCTCCTCCTCCTCCTCCTCCTCCTCCTCCTCCTCATCATCATCATCCTCTTCTTCATCCTCCTCATCCTCCACCTCATTCCACTCTCCAACTGGTGGTGGTTGTGGTGGAAGACAGGCCCATCAGAAAGCACGATCATCGTTACATGAGGCAGCCTTCATGCGATCTGTCTTCCGCCGCGTGGGACCCAGCGGCGCGTCGGAGGAACGGCGTGCGTCTTTGGGGGATCCACCAGGTACTGATACCGCTACTCCCTGGACCTCCGCCCCGGGTACTCTGGCCAGGATGTCCAGGCGAATCGAGCCATGGCGACGAGGGCTTCCGAGGAAGCCCAGAAAGGGGAAACCGAGGGAAGGGTTGCGGTAGGGGTACCTTTCCCTCCTCTGCCGTCTTGACTCCGTCCAGACTCCCCATCTGCAACGTGCCAAGGGGCTGTTGAGCTATAAGCGCACCCCGCCTCAAAATACTCGCTGCGGTGCTGTAGGATGAGCGGCGCGTGCGTGTGCGTCGTCGTCGTAATCGTCGTTAGTCGTCGTTAGTCGTCGTTAGTCGCCGTCGTCGTCGTTAGTCTTCGTCGTCGTTAGTCGTCGTCGTCGTCGTCGTTAGTCGTCGTTAGTCGTCGTTAGTCGTCGTCGCCGTCGTCGTCGTCGTCGTCGTCGTTCGTCGTCGTTAGTCATCGTTAGTCGCCGTCGCCGTCGTCGTCGTCGTCGTCGCCGTCGTCGTCGTCGTCGCCGTCGTCGTCGTCGCCGTCGTCGTCGTCGTCGTTAGTCGTCGAATCGTCGCCGTCGTCGTCGTCGTCGTCGTCGCCGTCGTCGTCGTCGTCGTCGTCGTCGTCGTTAGTCGTCGAATCGTCGAATCGTCGCCGTCGTCGTCGTTAGTCGTCGCCGTCGTCGTTAGTCGTCGTCGTCGTCGTCGTCGTCGTCGTCGTCGTCGTCGTCGTCGTGAGTCGTCGTCGTCGTTCCTCCCAGGGGGGGGTAAAGGGGGGGGGGGGCCCCGACAGGCGCGGGGCCGGCGGAGCAGCGCCCGCCTCTCTCTCGCGCACCCGCCCTCGCGGGGGGCCCGCGGGGGGCCGCTCGGGGGGGCCTCGGGGGGGCCGCGCTCCGGCAGCCCTCCCTGGCCACGACAAGGCGGGGGGGAGCGGGAGGGAGGCGCGAGGGGCCGCCGCCGCTGGCCGGGGGGCCACGGGGCGCCCCTCGCGCGGGGCGTCGGAAGAGGAGGAGGAGGGGGAGGAGGACGAGGAGGAGGAGGAGGAGGAGGAGGAGGAGGAGGAGGAGGGGGGGGAGGAGGAGGAGGAGGGGAGGGTCCCTCCCGGGGCCTCCCATAGGAGGTCCGGCGGCAGTGGTGTCTCTCCCGTGCGGGCGGGGCCCCGGGGCAGGCCTGCGCCCGAGAGATCCACGCGCGGTGGCCCCAAAGGCCTCGGGAGCGGCTCGTCAAAGACCGACTTCTGAGCAGACGCCCGGATGGGGAACAGCTCAGACTGTTGGCAGCCTGGGCTTCAACGACGACGACGACGACGACGACGACGACGACGACGACGATTCGACGACGACGACGACGAAGACGACGACTAACGACGACTAACGACGACGACGACTAACGACGACGACGACGACGACGACGACGACGACGACGACGACGATTCGACGATCGCGACAGCGACGATTCGACGACGATTCGACGACGACGACAAAGAACGACGACAACGACGACGATGCTTCGGCGACGATTCGACGACGAGTCGAGGACGATTCGACGACGATCCGACGACGACAACGACGACGCCTACGACGACGACGACGAGTCAACGACGAGTCAACGACGAGTTGACGACGATTGGACCACGATTCGACGGCGCCGACGACGACGACGACGACGACGACGACGCTTCGGCGACGATCGACGACGAGTCGAGGACGATTCGACCACGATGCGACGACGACGATTCGACGAAGACTCGACGATGGGGCGAAGCCTCGACGGGCGGAGAGTGCGCGCGGCGCCGCGGCTGGCGGCTCCGAAGAAGAGTGCGGCGAAGGTGATGCTGTTGCTGTTCGAGCCCCTGCGACGGCGCCGCGGCCGCGGAGGGATCGAATGACCGAGGGATCGAGGAGATCGAATGACCCGAGGGATCGAGGAGATCCAATGACCCGAGGGATCGAGGAGATCGAGGGATCGAGGACCCTGCGCAGGGGCCGAACGTCCACGGGCCCCCGGCCGCACAGGCCCGCGGGGGGGCGCCGTGCCCGGGCGACCGGGACGGAGGCCCGCGAGCGTGCGCCCGCCTCGCCGCAGCGCCCCGCGGAGGGGAGGCGTCGCGGCAAACCAGCAGCACCCCCCACGACGACGACGACGACGACGACGACGACGACGACGACGACGACGACGACGACGACGACGACGACGACGGCGACAACGGTGTCGCGGCAGACCAGCAGCACTCCCCGTGGCTAGAGCTAAGCAGTGTTTTCGTTCTCGTGGTCCGTTGTGCTCCTCGGTTTCCCTCGTCCTGGCGTCTTCGCTCTGCCCCTGCTGCGAGACAGGATCACAACGGAGTCGGTTCACGGAGATCGCCAGAACAACGCTTGGCTCGAGCCCTGGCACTCCCGCCTGCGCACGGGCCTCACCTACAGATGTACGGCCCGCGCCTTCCGGGAATCAGTCGACTTCTAAGAAGCCCCCCCTCCCCCTACCCCCCCCCTTGCGCGTGGCCGACCCCTCGCTCTTGCACGGTCGTCGCCGCCACGATCTCCGTCGTCTCCGCCGCCGCCGCCGCCGCCACCGCCGTCGTCGTCGTCGTCGTCGTCGTCGTCGTCGTCGTCGTCGTCGTCGTCGTCGCGCCGCCCAAAACCGCACACTGTGCAGATCACACCTGGGCGTCGAGACGACGACGACGACGACGACGACGACGACGACGACGACGACGACGACGACGGCGGCGACGACGACGACGACGACGGCGGCGGCGGCGACGACGACGACGACGACGACGACGGCGGCGGCGGCGGCGGCGGCGGCGACCGTGTACGAGCGAGGGGCCCGCCGCGCGCAGAAGGGGGGGTAAGGGGAGCTGGCCATGGCTCGGACGTCCATTCCCTGTGTTTTTGTTCGGCTTCGTGCGTTGTTTTTGCGCAGGATGATCCAGGATGCTCCCGAAGAACCCCCGCCGAGAAAGAAGTCCACACGTCCGCGCGACACCAGGGGAGGGGCAGGGAGGCTGCCTGGAGGGAGACTGCTTCCTAGAAGGGCGCGAGCCTCACAGCTGGCGATGAGGCCCCGTCGGAGCCGCCGGCACGCGCTCCCCCCGCGGCCCGCACGCCGCCCAGGGGGCCCCAGGCGGGGGGCGCCAAAGGCCAGAGGCCGAGCCCGAGCTGGGCGGAGGCGCAGAGGTGCCGTCACCCCGTACGAGGAGGAGGCACTCGCCGCCCGTCGCCGCCTCGTGCGCTGGCCCGCGCCCCCGGTGCTCCCACGGAGGACCGGAGCGTCGCCGCCCGGTCGCTGCCTTGGGCGCCGGCAGGGCGCGTCCAGGCTATGGCCCAGTCGCCGCTCCCTTGCCGCCTCCCTCCTCCTCCTCCTCCTCCTCCTCCTCCTCCTCCTCCTCCTCCTCCTCCTCCTCCTCCTCCTCCTCCTCCTCCTCACTCCCTCGCTCCCTTGCCGCCTCCGTGCGCTGGCTGCCACTTCTGGGCCTGCGCCCCGTCGGTGCGCGTCGCCGCCCCGTCGTCGCCACACGCGCACTCCCTGCGTAAATACAGTCGCATTTCCAGGAGATGGGACGCACAGAGACGTGCTAAGACTCTATGTCCTCCTTGGAGGCGCGCGTCCGACCCGAACACCTAGTAGGCCCATCTTGTGGTAGACCGTCTCCCGAGCGCTGTGGCCGGAAAGCGCCCGCCGCGACGTACATACTAGAAGATTTCTCGGTGCGCGCGTCGCCCCTGGGGGGGGACGAACCACACATAGTATGCCGAGAGAAGGATGCAGAGGTCTCGGGTACGGTTAGGTCGGGCACGTCGCCATACAGGCGGATCTTCGACGAAAAATGATCAATAGTCCAGGAGGATTCAAAAATAATCAAGAATAGTCGAGACATCGTCCCTCGACTAGTTGTGCTTGTACTACTTTCGAGCACTCCTCCTGTAGAGGGACATGCCCGACGTAAGAACACGGACAGGTGAACCGCTCGTGCAGAGGTGGGTTATACGTCGCTGCGGCCGATGTTGCTCTCGGCGCGCGCGCAGGTGGGCAACGCCGACACCTCGGCAAAACGCCCGCGAGCCCTGCTCAGCACGGGGGAGGCGGCTCCTGCGGGAAACGAGCCCCGGACACCGGGGCCTTCCCCGAGGCCCAGCTCTCTTCATCTGGGCCGTGTTCTGGCAGTCCCGGGGCCCGTGGAGGGCCCCTTGGGGCCCGTGGAGGGCCCCTTGGGGCCCGAAACGGCGGAACACCTGAGGACCCGTTTCCCTCAGGACCCGTTTCTCCGATGGCGACCTGCGTCCCGCGCCCCAGGAGAACGACTCCGGCGCCGCGGCAGATCCCAGGGCGAACCTTGCGTCCGAGGCGGCGCTTGCCCGGGTGCCCGCGGCGCCCTCCCCAAAACGTAGGGCCGCGCGTCGGAACAAACGGCGCGGCGGCATATCTGGTCTGGCCTGGCCTGCAAGAGGGCTACAGATGCCCCAGGTGGCTCAGAGGGGTCAGCGCCCCGAGGGAAGTGGGCTCCGCGCAAACTTGGCGGAGTTATCTGACCCCCGCGGAGCCGCCTGGAACAGTTGTGACCCACTTGTCAGCTAGAATAAGCTGACTTAGGCCAGATTTATGTTGCTCCCATCGTACTGAGGGCCCACATCCCAGAAAGAATTTCGAGCAACCCGAGAAGTATCGAAACAGTGTCGAACGAGTACCGCCTCCCCTCCCAGAGCCCGACACGTGAAAGCCCTTCAGGTTCGGTACTTTCTTGGTGCTCGAAATTCTCTCTGGTGGTCAAAGCCAAATTAGGTTGGAACATCATAAGGCCAGATACCCACCTTGGCATCCTCTGATAGCCGTCCCTATCGCCTTAGCAACCCCCGCACAGATCCCGGCAGATCCCTGGCGCCCCGTAAAACGATGCGGCGACAGACCGCGCGGTGACCTCGAAATCCCCGGGAACCTCACCGCACTGTCCGTCGCCGCGCGGCTTTGGACCCTGGAGGCCCCAGCCGAGACATTGCCGGAGAACGACCCAAGTCCCAAAACCGTGCGGTCACCCACTGACTCCCCACTGACTCACCACGCGGCGTGGTCACCGTGCTGTCTGGGGCCCCCCGAAGAAGCTCCGATCCGGGGGGTTTTCCCCGATGTCGGCCTCTGGGGCCTGTTATAGGGCCCCAGGGCCATCCAAAGTTGGCCTGGGCCATCGACAAACTCGCCGCGGGGACAGGGTCGGGACCTCCATGGAGTCGCGCATTGACAGAAATCAGGTCGACGGGCATCTGGGGGCAACCCCCTCGAAATGGCCTGGTGTTTGCCGAGTTCCAGGAGGCGCTTGTGACCTGCCTCCGGGAGCTCAAAAAGGACCTCCCGAGGCCTCTCGACCTGCGGGGGCCTCCCGGGGCGGGGAGGTTGGCCTCAACGGGCCACCAGGGCGGCCCTGGAGGTCTGTGGCCGGCGGTTCCAAGATGGGGCCACGAGGGATGGGGCCCGAAGGACGGGGAGAGGCCCGTGGCGGGAACGGCCCGGCCCGTCCCGCGAACACGACGGCGCGGTCGCACGAACAGAGCCGC